ATTTTAATTGCTGAGAGAAAACGGGGTATCTATATTTGGATGGTGAAAGTTGTGTATATTTTAACTTTTTTTTGTAGTGTTGTCCAGTTTTACCTTGGGGAAGAGCACCTCATTTCGTTGCACCCACTTGTGAGCGCAATGACAAATACATTTCTTATGTCTTATGTCTTAGGTCTTATAAAACAATTAGATGTTAAAAATACTTGTTCACTTGCTTGTCCACCCACAGATATACCAGTAGATACCAACCTGGCTTCTACATAGCCCTGTGTGGGACTAGAGATGGGAGCTTGCCCGCTTACCAGGCTCCATATGCTGCTGGGGTCCTTTTTTGGCAGCAGAGCTCCAATCCAGGCAGGAGTCCAGCCAGGCTTTCTCTACCTCCTCAGGCAGCCAACCACTCTGACGAGGAGTAAGTGCAGAGTGTCTCCCTGTACGGCCAATAAGTGCTTGGCTGCCTGGGCTCCTGCTTGGATTGGAGTGATGCTACCAAAGACAGACCCTTTCTGGAGCCCAGTAAGCAGGCCAGGGGGAAGGAGATGGAATGCAGCAGCACCTGGGGTGCTGTGCTTCATATGAAACATGAAGTTCCCATCTCTAGTTGTACTAGAGATAAAACAATCTTTGTACATTAAACAAAACATCCTGAAAGCATTAGTTTCATCGCAAACTAAGCCTTTATAATGAATCAATACTATTAATATGTGTATCTTCAAGTCAGAAGCAACTCATAATGACCCTAACAGGGCTTTCAAGGTAAGTGAGATTTTTAGGGAGTGGTTATGTCAGTTTCAGGGACGTTGTGACGCTGTGGGTTAAACCACAAAGCCTCTGGGCTGCAAGGTCAAAAGATCAACAGTTTGAGTCCACGCAGCGGAGTAAGTTCCTGTTACTTGTCCCAGCTCCTGCCAACCTAGTAGTTCAAAAGCATGTAAAAATGTGAGTAGATAAATAGGTACCACCTCGGTCGGAAGGTAGTGGCGTTCCATGTCTAGTCATGCTGGCCACGTGACCATGGAAACTGGACAAACGCTGCCTCTATGGCTTAGAAACGGGGATGAGCACCACCCCCGAGTCATACATGGCTGGACAATTTGTCAAGGGGAACCTTTACCTTTTTTATATCAGTTTCACATTCCTAGTGAGTTTCCATAGCTGAGCAAGGATCTGAACCCAGGCCTTCTGAAGCTTAGTCTGTTAGTCAATGCACTACACCAGACTAAGCATCATTGTTAAAGAAGCATATATAATGTTAAAGTTGTTCAAATATTAATTAGAAACAAATGAGCAACGTGGCTAGAAATGGTATTTTAAAAAGCCAAAATTGTAATTGCGACACAATTAGATTGACACTCATATTATGGTAAAGAAAAAAACAGAGCACTTCTGTATTCACAGAACAGGAATGAAAGAAGTGGTTTATTTTGTACACATAAAGATCTTTATTAAAAAGTAAGGCTGGTAGTGGAATTTTATTTTGATGCATAAACTTGACAGAAGTGGTACATTACAGAAATTTTATACAATGGTGGATAAACAAATCAGTCACATGTATGGGCTATACTTTTAAAAATTAGGATCAATAATTACCATAAACATTCTCTTCCCTAATTACATTGTAAAGTGTCTTGTGTAGTCATATTCTATTGTTGGAATGACCGCTTGTACAAATTTCAAAAAAATTAGAAGGTACCTGAAGGTTCAATTAAGGAAAACTAAACCAGTCACTTCACAATGACAAGTCTGCTCTTGTAGTGAGGAAAAACAAATCTTTATAACTGGCCCAAAACTGGCTCATCCCTCCTCAAAAATCCGGAACCAACTTATCTTATGGGAAAGATCTAGATAAGAAAACCAGTCTGTTACAATAGTTGAATGGCTACTGAACCACCTTCCATTGTGTAGATAAGTCTACTTGACAATTAGTTTTTGTTATAGTTGCAGCTACCATTGAATGTTTACTGAACATCATAAATATTCTTTTGAGACACACACTCCTTTCAGTGTCCTTTTAAAAATCAACTCAGACACGGCTAAGATGTAGCACTGGCTTGTACTATCATGAGAAACAGAGTCCTCTCCTATTGGTTACCTAATGCAGACAGTCCACCTGAAACTTGAACATGTTTGGTTGTTGAGGCAAGCTTACCTTGCATTACCTTATAGGTATATGGGGACAAGAAGAGCTGGGAACTAATTTTCTATGCTCCTAAGGGTGTTGAGGCAAGCTTACCTTGCAGGTGTATGGGGACAAGAAGAGTTGGGAACTAATTTTCTATGCTCCTACCTAGATAAGATCCAAAAAACAGAGGAATATTCAATGACTTACCAGCGATTTCTCTCTAATGAATCAACTGTTAGATTTGACAAAAGGATACATATGAACTCCAAGTTCTCCTCCACCTTCAGCCACAGTTTCAATGATTTTCTTCATCACTTCTGCATGTCTAAAAACAGAACAGTTAATATACCTTTGAACATCAATATAAACACTGTCCTATAATTTACCAATACTGAATTCCTGTTTACTGAATACCCCAGCAAGAACATGCTGTCTTAACACTACAGTTGCGGTCTTTCAGACACAACTGAGAAACTATAAAACTTCAAATGATGAGCATTTTACTCTTGCTTCCCTAAAGCTCTCAGAACATAAATCTCTTGAAGTTGTAATACAAAAATCAAATATTCAAGCTCCGTTCAGCTCAAAAACAAAAACAAAAAAAAAACAGGCATGAGAGCAGGGGGTGCATGACAGCCCAACTACTTCATCATGTTTCCATCACCCTTCTTGCGGAGAAACTCCATACATACTTTCCTCTTAACAGAATAACAGGAAATCTTTTCATGTGTGAGGAAGGCAATGGGGTTTGCACACGTCCCCATCTCACAAATATAGTAAAACCCACAGAATGTCTGGCAAGGCCTACAAAATAGCAATAAGATGGGTATAAGTAGACTGGCACATTAAGGCCAAGCACTGCTGGCAGTTTGTACTAAACCAGTCAGGGGAAAACTGGCAAGAGACCTTCTCTTCATAGTTAATGCAATTGTGCATGTTTATGAACTAAAGGAATATTCACAGAAACACAGCAACATCTATGAGAAACTGCTTAATTTTATGGACTTTTTCAAGTTTCAATCCAAAGCACAAGAATCTGATATCCAGTACCAAAAACTATGACCCTTCATTAAACTTTGAAACACACTAAGGAAATGCTTAATACATTTTTGAAAGAGAATGTTGAGTACAACAGTGAATAAGAGCACTCTGGTACTCAACTGGCCATGTTGTTTAGCATAGTAAATCATACTTGAGTAGGCCCACTGATTTGGTGAGTCAATTCCTCCATTATTTTGATTCGGATGGGCCTATTCTGACTTATTTTAGTGTAAAAAGTTTGAGTAGGTCATTTGAATCAATGAGACCTATGAAGGAGTTGATTCACCAAATCCCATTAATTCAATGGGCTTACTCTAGTGCAACTGACTACATCAAACAACAGTACTTTAACCATTTACCAGTTCATAGCTTCAGTGGATGATCCAGGCTTCCCTTATCTATTTTCTCCGCACTACATACAATTTTATATTTTTATCCTGCCTTCTCTACTTTTTATCACTATCATTTAAAAAGAAATGGTAGTCTTTTCACCTACAAGACTTCTTTAAATAACAATACCTCAGTGCCTTTACAGCTTTCTAAGACAATGTACCTAAAGAATGCAGAAGAAATCCAGAATTTCTCAACTCTTTTAAAATGAAAAAAACAAAACAAAATAGGCTATACAGTTCTCATCAAGTGCAACATTAACTATGGCATCTGAAGTAGACAACACTGTACTTCACAGAAGAGATTGAAAAAGTGCCTGAACCTAAGAAAAGACAAAAACAGTAACTATTAAGAGCACCAAGAGGTGACGTCGCATGTGAACAGAAACAGTCTGGGAGGGGAAAAACAACTTCAAAATAGTTGCCTGCCATCTCGTGGAGAGTTTGAGAAGGAGAAGAAACAGAAAACAAGTTTAATAGGAAAGATTCTTAAAGATTTAGTTTCGTTTGTTTGTTTAGTCGTTTAGTCGTGTCCGACTCTTCGTGACCCCATGGACCAGAGCACGCCAGGCCCTCCTGTCTTCTACTGCCTCCCGGAGTTGTGTCAGGTTCATGTTGGTTGCTTCGCAGACACTGTCCAGCCATCTCATCCTCGGTCGTCCCCTTCTCCTCTTGCCATCACACCTTCCTAACATCAAGGTTTTTTCCAAGGACTCTTTTCTTCTCATGAGATGGCCAAAGTACTGGAGCCTCAGCTTCAGGATCTGTCCTTCAAGTGAGCATTCAGGGTTGATTTCCTTTAGAACTGATAGGTTTGTTCTCCTTGCAGTCCAGGGGATTCTCAAGAGCCTCCTCCAGCACCACAATTCAAAGGCATCAATTCTTCGGCGGTCTGCTTTCTTTATGGTCCAGCTCTCACTTCCATACATCACGACAGGAAAAACCATAGCTTTGACTATTCGGACTTTTGTTGGCAAGGTGATGTCTCTGCTTTTCAAGATGCTGTCAAGATTTGTCATCGCTTTCCTCCCAAGAAGAAGGCGCCTTTTAATTTCAGGGCTGCTGTCTCCATCTGCAGTGATCATGGAGCCCAGGAAGATAAAATTTGACACTGCCTCCATATCTTCCCCTTCTATTTCCCAGGAGGTGATGGGACCAGTGGCCATGATCTTAGTTTTTTTGATGTTGAGTTTCAGACCATTTTTTGCACTCTCCTCTTTCACTCTCATTACAAGGTTCTTCAATTCCTCCTCACTTTCTGCCATCAGAGTGGTATCATCTGCATATCGGAGGTTGTTGATACTTCTTCCGGCAATCTTAATTCCGGCTTGGGTTTCTTCCAGTCCAGCCTTCCACATGATGTATTCTGCATATAAGTTAAACAAGCTGGGGGACAATATACAGCCTTGCCGTACTCCTTTCCCAATTTTGAACCAATCAGTTGTTCCATGACCAGTTCTAACTGTTGCTTCCTGTCCCACATATAGGTTTCTCAGGAGACAGATAAAGTGGTCAGGCACTCCCATTTCTTTAAGAACTTGCCATAGTCTGTTGTGGTCCACACAGTCAAAGGCTTTCGCATAGTCAATGAAGCAGAAGTAGATATTTTTCTGGAACTCTCTGGCTTTCTCCATAATCCAGCGCAAGTTAGCAATTTGGTCTCGAGTTCCTCTGCCTCTTCGGAATCCAGCTTGTACTTCTGGGAGTTCTCGGTCCACATACTGCTGAAGCCTACCTTGCAGGATTTTGAGCATAACCTTGCTAGCGTGCGAAATGAGTGCAACAACATCTATGAAAATCTGCTTAATTTTATAACTATTAAGAGCACCAAGAGGTGAACAGAAACAGTCTGGAAGGGGGGGGGGAACAACTTCAAAAATAGTTGCCTGCCATCTTGTGGAGAGTTTGAGAAGGGGAAAAAAACAGAAAACAAGTTTAATAGGAAAGAGTCTTAAAGATTTAGTTTCAGAGGCTTTCAAAATGCAATAGTGTTAAATAAGCTTTATAAAAATAATTGTTATTTTCATATGTTGCTTTAGTAAAGTAGAATTATAGCAACTTGAACTAGGTGGCAGAGAAAAAGATTTTTGTAAGTAGTAACACTTGAAGAATGCCAGGATGAGAAGCTAATCTGACTGCTACGCAAAAGTAAACAAAGCATAACACACAGACACACACACACACACCATCTACACAGACAAACCAACCATTTTCATCAACGTATTCACATACCTGCATGGATGAACGGAACAAAGATTTTTTAGTAACACTTGAAGAATGCCAGGATGAGAAGCTAATCTGACTGCTACGCAAAAGTAAACAAAGCATAACACACAGACACACACACACACACCATCTACACAGACAAACCAAACCAAGAGAGAGATGTGCATGCATGTAAGTGTGTGTATATCCACAAATGGACAGATTCATACTCCTTATTGGGGGAAGGAAGATCAGAGAGTCATAGCTGTGTTCCCCCCCCTTTCCAAAGAATGCTGAGTGGTAGGTACACCCATTTTTTAAGGCACACCCTAAAGCCCTCCTCTTACCACACTAGTTTTGGAATAGTTATGCATTGTATCCTTTCAAGTAAAAGGCAGGTTGCTTTTAAGCTAGTTGAGGTATATTCTTTCTTTTTGGTTTTTTTTTTTAACTGCAACCTTAAGATTCAGCAACTGGAACCAGACAGAAAATGATGCCTCAGAAGGATGCCTTTGAGACACATGCAAAAGATCCACCTGGGTTTCCTCTGTGTTTCAACCACCTAATTAATTTAGTCAGGGGAATCTTACAGTTATTGCAAATGGAAATCATCTGAACAAAGTCTTGTGAGCTGCTGCAAATCATCCAAGGATCTACCAGGAGTTCCTGATCTACCGTCCCCTTTTCCCTGGGTAGCAAAGCCAGTATTCTGGAGGTTCACTGTTAAGAGTGTTCCTAAGGAAGACTATTGTAAGTGATGGTTGTTGTGGGTTTTTCAGGCTCTTTGGCCGTGTTCTGAAGGTTGTTCTTCCTAACATTTCGCCACAGTGACAGATAATCTCTTCTCCTTAGCACAACAATACACCCACAACAAGACACATTAATCACCCATCTACAGAAAAAGACAAAGGCCCATCTCACAGCCATAAATACTGCACTCCCAAAGCCAACTACACCAGAGCACAGAGTGCTGTCCTCTGAAGATGCCGGCCACAGAGACTGGCGAGACGTTAGGAAGAGCAACCTTCAGAACACGGCCAAAGAGCCAGAAAAAAACCACAACAACCATTAGATCCCGGCCGTAAAAGCCTTCGCAAATATATTGTAAGTGACTCCAGATTCAAGGGAGACCCTCCCCTCCTACATCGACAGGGGCTTCTGTGGGCTTAACATGCTGATGGCAACGCCATAGCCAGGGTTTCAGGGGTGGGTGGGGTGGACTTGCCTTCTGTTTTCATTACCCACAATGCCTCCCTCCATAGCATCTGTTCAGAGTATTGTCTAGTTTGGGGGGGAGGAAACATCCCACCTCCGCTTTTGACTTCTACTGCCATAATCTCCCAAATGGATCGGGGATTCTGGAAACCGTTGTCCAAAAAAAAAAAAAACTTTAGTTCCTGCTGCTGGATGGCACCGCCATGAAGCAAGACAATCATCTTGTGAGATGGATGAGGAGAGGGAAACCATGGTAGTTACTATTTTTGCTGGAACACATTGCACTCCAGCCATGGTGTGGTATAGGGAGTAGTAAGGTGTCCAACGTGCCTAGCAAGTTGCATTAAATTTTTGCTAGCTCGCAGAGGATTTAATCATCATCAGTGGCTATCAGAGTGGTGCCAGCAATGACATGCTTGCTAGAGACAGCCAATGCAGAATTGGGGAGGGGGTTTTCCCTACCACTTTAATCATTCTATATGTGGTGTGCAAAAAGGAACAAACCAGGCTAAAGGTCATATCACCCACCCTGGTGCTACAGCCCAAAATCAAAGGACCATTGCACTATTTTTTTAATCATCATCATGGGAAAATTCAGCAGTGGCCAGAGGATTGGAAAAGATCAGTCTACATCCCAGTCCCAAAGAAGGGCAGTGCCAAAGAATGCTCCAACTA